TTTAATTCTTATTAATTATTTTTATTTGATAAAAAATTTTAATTATTATTTATATAATATGTTAAATTTATATTTAAAATTTATATTTTAAAAATCAAAAAATGAAAAAATCAAATTACGTCAATTCAAAACAAAGAAAGTACCAAGGACACAAAGAATTAATTAATATTAAGAGTTCTTACCAACCATTTTTCTGATTATACACTCATGGAGGATGGAGGCGCCTTTGTCTACATTTAGAGACTTTAGAGGAGTCTCAAGGTACAAATAACGTATCAGGCCCTCCTGAATTGTGCTGCAGGCCAATTCAACTGGGATCTTTCCATCTTTGTCTGGAATGGTAAGCAAGTTATCGTTCTTTCTAACTAAACTTTGTGCAATTGATTTCTCGACCCCGTAAAAAGCAGCAATGGAAAGAGCCGTGCTCCCAGAATAATCTTTTGTTTCCAAATCTTCTTTTGACAACTTGTACTTGGTCAAGTGATCAACAATTTTGCTCTTCCCATTATAAACTGCAAAATGAAGAGCTGTGTACCCATTTTCAAAAATTCTTGTAGATCTTGGATTCGAATGTCTAAAGAGCCGCCGTACTTGCCGAAGCTCCCCACTGGAAATGGCATTAGTTAAGGTCTCATATCGCGAATCTGTGAGATTTCCAAGGCCTGCATGCCAATGACAGTTGTATCCACAATAAAATCAACACTCTCACCAATTCTCCTTTGTATTTTAAAAATTAAAATAAACATTACAGATAAATTTGTTAACCATCAAATCTGAACCTATACTTTAAAAAACTCAAACCGGATTGCAATCTCTCCATTTAACAGATGCGAAAAAGAAAAAGAAATTAAAGCAGAGATGGAATAGAATAACACCTTCTCGCCTTCCTAGGGGGGGCTCAACAATGACCTGAACTGGGGGAGCGTGCGTAGCAGCCAAAGCATCCCAAACATCTTTAGCAGATTTCATCTCCTTTATTTGATCAAACTTTTCTTCTCCACATGAAATCTTAATGGCATGCAGAGCTAAAGCATTCTTTTTAATCCACTCTCTCCACATATTTCTTTCTTTAGACAACTCACCGAATTCAACAACATCCCAAAGATCTTGACCCACTAAATAGTGCTGCAAGAAAATGCTCCACCTTTTGTAGTTATTTCTTTTAAGAACTTCAGGTACAATCACACT